ATTCAGACTTCACGACCGCCACAGTTAAAAGACGGCTGTTGGCAGAAGCAGAAAGGCGTTCGTCTAATCTACCAAAATATGTGGGTGCCATGGTCGTTAATGCCTCTTCGAAGCCCATTGAAACAGAAAAACAATTTAAAGCAAAGGTTGTTTGTTTCAAATGTGGAGGTAAAGGCCATTATGCAAGGGAATGCAGGAAGAAAGAATGAACAAAGACCAAAGAGGTTTGACCAAAACAAAGGCGTAAATATGTCGGCAATGTGCAACACTTTGTTTGGAGCTACCGCCGAGACCTGGATCATAGATTCTGGAGCGACGCACCATATGACTCCCAAGAGAGATTACTTCACATGTCTGAAAGAGTGCACAAGCAATATGAGTACCATCACTATTGCGAATGGCTCTTCTATAGAAGTATGTGGTATCGGTACTGTCAGTGCCAATATTGTTGGACACAAGGGAGATGCCAGCAATATAGTTGCCCAGAACACCTTGTATGTTCCAGATATGCGTCACAGTGTTCTGTCTGTACTCCAAATGATAGAAAACGGTAGAAAAGTTGTCTTCAACAGGAGTGGCTGCCACATTATGGACATGATAGGTAAACTCTTGATAGAGGGAAAGAAGTTGGGTAGACTTTACTACGTCCAGACTACTCCATCCTCTACAATAGATCAGAATGATCGTGTTTCTCTTGCATCTGAATGCAAGGAAGAGCTTACACTGGAACTTTGGCACAAAAGGCTGATGCATGTAAATGCATATACGATAGCAAAGATGGCCAAGAATCAAAGCGTAAGAGGACTTGATTGCAGCCCGGCAAAGCCAGAAAAGTGCGAAGACTGCTTGATCGGCAAGTCTTACCGTCTGCCATTCCTTCAACACTCACACAAGGAGGAAAAAGAAATCATGCCATTGGACTTGGTGCATGCGGACTTGATGGGTCCACTCGACGTATTGAGCTGGGGAGGAGCCAAGTACGTCTTAACCATCATTGATGAATCTACGAGATATACAAGTGTATTTTTCCTGAAAAACAAAGGCGGAACCCTGGGAAAAGTCAAAGAATGGATTCAAGAATCTGAAAAACAAACCAGCCGGAAACTAAAACGAATACGTACGGATAATGGCTTGGAATTTTGTTCCAAGGATGGGACACTTTCTGCAAGAGCGTTGGAATAGTTCATGAACACACTATGACGTATACTCCTCAACAGAATGGTGTGGCAGAAAGAATGAATAGGACACTCCTAGATCTTGTCAGGAGCACTATATCTGGAAGTGGTCTGCCAAAGGCTTCCTGGGCGGAGCTGACTTACACCGCAGCCTATGTCAGAAACAGAGTTCTCAACAATCACAATGGTGAAAGCACGCCATATGAACTGTGGACAGGGAACAAGCCTAGTCTTAAACACATAAGAGCTATTGGCTGTCAAGTATTTGTCCATATTCCAAGACAAGTCCGTAAGTCCAAACTCGAAAGGAGAGCTGTCAAAGGTAACCTTGTTGGATATGCAATCAGAGGACGTGGCTACAGAGTGTGGATTCCTGAGATGAAGAAAGTGGTGGAATCTCGGGACTGTGTCTTCAAAGAGAGTGATGTATCGAGGAACGACAGCAACCGGGAGATGCTTCCATCAGTTGAACACTCCCGCTATGGGACTCAACGGAAGATTGAAGAGAACTCAATTGCACTCCTCAGTACTGAAGTAAATAAGTGGAAGAAACCTAGCGGACGTTTTGACCAAGCCACTGGGGAGAAACCTACACGAACTTCATCGTTCGAGACTTATGGACGGCGAAGTAATCCATAAAGAAGGGATCACTTCGAGGGAGGAGTTTGTTGGATCGTGGCAGCGACGGTTGGCCTGGTAACACTGGAGCTGACTCACTTCCTGCTGATGATGTAACCTCTGCAAGCGGCGTCTCGCCATCGCTGTCTTGTTTTCTTTTCTCCCCATTTTTACTATTTAATCTATATATATTCCCTTTACCTTATAGTTAATTAAAGTATAATTAACGTTGAACGCTGTGTGTAATCAATTGGAATACAACATATATAAAGGTCTATTAATATAGGATCATCTCCCCTATATTCCTTCTTTATTTTACAATGTTTACCTTCAATAACCTCTTCTTCTCTCTCTCTCTCAGAGATCAGTTTGTGAATTGTTTGATATTGCTATCGAAAAAGCATTCAAAGAATAACAATCAAGACCTGAAATATTTTCGAATACTTCTAATTCTTTGAAAAATTGAACAAGAACTTCTAAAGGTGGATGAAATTATTACAAATTGGTAAATTTCAAATATTACTATACTACTTCCTCGAATATATATCACCTATTCTCTCTCTCTCTCTCTCTCTCTCTCTAGCATGGCCCCTGCGCAAGGATGACACGCAAAATCGTGAAGCGTTCTCTCTCTCTCTCCAGGAAATATCTTTATATATATTAGGGCCTTCTCATGAAATGTCCACAGGGATAAAAAAATTTTTTTTTTTTTTTTCAATGAGCTTGTGGTATGTCATCGATTTAGGGCTTGTCTTTAAACAATATCTTGCTAAATAGTCAAATTACTTCATATGATTTTAATTTTTTTTAAGGTATGTCGTCTCAAATGCCTTTAGTCTGCTTTTTGGCTCCACATAGAATGAGCAGAGAATGGATTAAAATATAAAATTCAATTAATATTTCTTACTTTGGTTAATTCGCAGAAATCTATAATAGACACAATTTTTAAAAATGATACTTTTTAAGTTAAAACAACAGGTATATGATATAAAAAAAAGTTGAATTTAAGCATGGAAACCATAATTTTATTTGATATATTTTGTGAGGATCTCACATATTCATATCAATGGATAATTCTGGATTAACCTGTAAACCAGGATTTCGTCCTACGGCCCTCATAAATACAGGGTTAAATTCTTAAGTCGGCAAATTGTGGTATTTACTTCAGCCTTACCGAATTTGAGAATCTTCGATATCAAATTAGGTGTTATAATATAAATAAAGCTGACTCTTGAGGCCGAACATTTCATGTTGAATCATGGAATATTCTATTTACCGTAATAGGCTTAAATAGAATTATTTTAATACAAAAAATGCGTGTTATAGACTCATGCGCAAAACTTAAGAAAGTTGTACCATTTAGCATGTATATCGTAATTAGGCAATATAATTGTGAAATATATTTGATACATTGACTTTTATTGAAGACCTATGATATAAGCGAGTGTGAACAAAATTTATTTTGTCTCCTTCAAAAAATTGATAACCGACTGCGTTAATTTCCACTTCCTTAAGTTTTGTTCATGAATGAATTTTCTCCAGGCAAATAAAATCGATATAAGTGGTTATTTGAACATTTATGGAAAGCTGACTTGACGCATATTTATTTGTTACAAATAACAGGCCAATCTTGAAGAAATAAGTCGGCCTGCGTATCGAAATATTGGGTCACACATAATAAAATACGATTAATTAGCGCCCTCTGTTATAATAAATTGAAACTATTTTAGGCACGAATAATAATTTTCAAAATTAAACGATGTTATACTTCTATTACTGCAATAATAAATTAATGGGAGGGCTTGGCTAATCAGTGGTAAACCTTGGTAGATTAACTGCCCTAACCGTTCGGAGGGCTCACCACTGATGAATTAAGCCTTCCCATTAATTTATTAATGCAGCAAATACAGTAGAAAATTTAAATAAAAAAGATACTCATTGTGAGAATATAATTGTAATTTTAATACTTTTTTCGCAATTTTACATGAACAGTAGAAAATGTTTATTTTTAAAAAGAATCATACACGTCTAAAATTATTTCAAATTTTTATATTCACAATAAAATAGCTTTATAAAATCTAAAACACAGGTCATATAGAATGTAGTTACAAGGATTGTGCCAGGTGAGGGAACTGTGTGTGGAGTCACGGTGCAGCCACCCACATGGTGCCCTTCAACGCCCGCAAGGCCTTCCCCTGCTTCGACGAGCCGTCGCTGAAGGCCACGTTCGACGTCGCTGTCACTCGACCATCCTACATGACAGCTCTGTCCAACATGCCCATCGCCAAGTCCGAGGCTCTGTGAGTGCCTCCGCATAATTTTTGTTTTAGTTATTTTTGGCTTCCGAGGATGAGTTTTTTTTATATTCTTCTCAATCTTTAGGGCATCCAAAACCCTTCTATTGGAGAATTTGATTATCATAAACTCCTATAGAAGGGTTTGTGATACCTGAAAGTCGGAGAAGAATATAAAATAAAACAAGAAACTCATCCTCAGAAGCCGTTTTTATTTTATTGATAATGTGTATTGAAGAGGATCTTAGTTTTCCGATTTGGATTTTTGTTGAAACTTGGGTTCAAATATATATCCAGGTAAATTCGAGGTGTGGCTACCAGATGATGAGACTGACTAGACAGAAGAACTTTGCATGTGACAGGTCATCTGGTAGACAGTTGTGTCGAATGAGAAGTCTTTCCATTGAAGCTCCTCCTGTCTGTTGACATAATAGTCTAGCTGTGGCCTTCTTAGTTTAGTCTGTTATTATTATTATTATTATTGAAAATTGTGATAATATTTTGACAATGTGTTATTCTTAGGATATTTATTCATTATTATCTCTACAAACAGACCTTACTGCAATGATAAACATTATTATATGAGAGGATATGGCTCATCAGTGGCGAACCCTTTCATCCAATAATTTTTATAATATATCAGTAAGATCTGTAGACATTATATTCAATAAAAATATATATAAAGAAACACCAATTGGCAAAAATGATTATTAGAAATTTTAATGATAATTGGACATTTAAATAATAATTATGATTATATTTTAAAACGGCACTTGAAGTTACACCGCATAAGTTTCTTTTTAAACGATAAATCAAATTTTTATTTCAAGGTAAAATAACGACTATTTTTAACCTTTTTGGATGAGGTATGAAAAGATGAATTATGAAGAGTAATGGCGATCGGAAAAAAAGTGTCCAGGGGCGGGAATCGAACCCATAACCTTCTGCTTACCGGGCAGGTGCCATGTCCACTAGGCTACCCTGGACGTATTCCTCCGATCGTAACTAATATTTAAAGTAACTTATAATACAATATAATATACTGCGGCCTGTGATTGTAAAACGGCACTTGAAGTTACACCGCATAAGTTTCTTTTTAAACGATAAATCAAATTTTTATTTCAAGGTAAAATAACGACTATTTTTAACCTTTTTGGATGAGGTATGAAAAGATGAATTATGAAGAGTAATGGCGATCGGAAAAAAAGTGTCCAGGGGCGGGAATCGAACCCACAACCTTCTGCTTACCGGGCAGGTGCCATGTCCACTAGGCTACCCTGGACGTATTCCTCCGATCGTAACTAATATTTAAAGTAACTTATAATACAATATAATATACTGCGGCCTGTGATTGTAAAACGGCACTTGAAGTTACACCGCATAAGTTTCTTTTTAAACGATAAATCAAATTTTTATTTCAAGGTAAAATAACGACTATTTTTAACCTTTTTGGATGAGGTATGAAAAGATGAATTATGAAGAGTAATGGCGATCGGAAAAATAAAAGTGTCCAGGGGCGGGAATCGAACCCACAACCTTCTGCTTACCGGGCAGGTGCAATGTCCACTAGGCTACCCTGGACGTATTCCTCCGATCGTAACTAATATTTAAAGTAACTTATAATACAATATAATATACTGCGGCCTGTGATTGTAAAACGGCACTTGAAGTTACACCGCATAAGTTTCTTTTTAAACGATAAATCAAATTTTTATTTCAAGGTAAAATAACGACTATTTTTAACATTTTTGGATGAGGTATGAAAAGATGAATTATGAAGAGTAATGGCGATCGGAAAAATAAAAGTGTCCAGGGGCGGGAATCGAACCCACAACCTTCTGCTTACCGGGCAGGTGCCATGTTCACTAGGCTACCCTGGACGTATTCCTCCGATCGTAACTAATATTTAAAGTAACTTATAATACAATATAATATACTGCGGCCTGTGATTGTAAAACGGCACTTGAAGTTACACCGCATAAGTTTCTTTTTAAACGATAAATCAAATTTTTATTTCAAGGTAAAATAACGACTATTTTTAACCTTTTTGGATGAGGTATGAAAAGATGAATTATGAAGAGTAATGGCGATCGGAAAAATAAAAGTGTCCAGGGGCGGGAATCGAACCTTTTGGACACTTTTATTTTTCCGATCGCCATTACTCTTCATAATTCATCTTTTCATACCTCATCCAAAAATGTTAAAAATAGTCGTTATTTTACCTTGAAATAAAAATTTGATTTATCGTTTAAAAAGAAACTTATGCGGTGTAACTTCAAGTGCCGTTTTACAATCACAGGCCGCAGTATATTATATTGTATGATTATATTTTGTTGAAAATTTTATGTTTGAACAGAGAAACGAATTTCGATGAAAAAAATTCATATGATTCATATAATAAAATGTTTCTTAAACCCATAGTTTATTGATAGAAGAATATAGCAATGGTTATCACGTGTAAGCAGTTTTTTAAGTCATTGACGTGTTTCCAAGATGACCGAAATGGTGCACACACGGGCCATCCTTTCACGCATCAAAAACGAATAAAAGTAGTTTAAGAAATCGTTAATTTAATCCAATGTGACCTTCACTATTCGTGAGTTTGCTGAAGCTGTAGGAATTGACATAGAGAATGCGTGAATATTAATAGAAAAGGGGTATTGTACTGGGATCAGGAACAGGCGCAAGCCAACAGCAACTTTTAGATCAGGAGATACATTTAAAGAAGCATATCCCAAAGGAGAGAAATCCCAGTACAATTTCACTTTTGTACTATTATTCAGAGTTTGGCGTTCTCACGCCCTTCTGAACTAAATACCTGTTACAGGATTTTTCAGGATGCCCAAAGACCAGCATTTTCGGTCTTTGAGGTACAGCTTGCGCCACGCTGATGAGAGTCAACAGCCCAAAACATTTATGCGGTTAGCTTTCCTGATCAATCAAGAAAGGGTATTTAGCCAATTCTGGAATAATTAAAAATCAATGATTTGTTGATTCATTCCGACAGATGGCGCAAACTATTTTATAGCCACACTAAAATTATCCAAGAACGTCAATGGTGCTTATTTTGACCTTGGACATCCTCAGTTTGTGAATAAATTTGCTTTCTCGTCTTTACTCAAGTGGCCATACGATAGAAGGGTAATTAATGCCTAGAAAAAAAACTTCTAACAAACTAAACATAAAAATAAATAAAACTAATAATAAGAAATAATTGAAACCTAGTATTTTGTGTATTTTCTGGTTACAATATATAGTTTTTCTATAAGATAATATATAAAAATACCACCAAATTTCTACAAATATCATCAGAAGCTTTCGGTGTTTGGCTTTTCTCTACTTGTAGATAATATGACAATTGGAATATGCAATAAGGTAAGGAACAAAATGCTAGTGCTGTAAAATAACATGCTAAAAAATAAGAATCAATGACAGTTCAATATGTCCAACTGACAAATATATAGTAGCCCTCATCGGTAGAGTTGTTAAGAGAGAAAGGTTACACCAGACTTGATATTTGAGATTGAAACAAGAGTTGCCTGGTTAGTTGGTACAGAAATGTATTCAATGGGGATACCCGAGTGATCATAGAAGTACTTACCTCTGACTTCTTCAACAAATAGATTTTAAATTTACGTAAAAGTTAGCTGTTTATTTTGATTTTTTTTTATTCTTTCATCCTTTTTTTTTCAAAATTTAGGCCAGCATCTTCTGAAAAAAATAAATATTCTGGCTTTTATTGGAATATATTTTCAGCTTCCAAAATGGCATTCATTCCATAATTCTTCTTGCACCATACTTCAACGATAAATTTATAATACATTCTCGTTCTGATTTTCTATGCAAATCTTGCAACTTTGCTATGCAACTTTATTACATGAATGCTTATATTATTATATTATTTTTTTATCAATTAATTTCTTTTGTACAGAAGATTCGTTGTCACCAAATAAGATATTTCACGTTATTCTCAATTTAGATAAAATAAAATCAAGGATAATATTTAAAAAATTCCAATATTTTTTTCTTCACAATTTGTTAATATAAATAGTGATATATATTTTCATTTAATAGTTCAAAAACGAAAATACCCCTTCTCTTTGATATATAGATTACAGCGTCCAAATATATTTAGAGAAGAAACCATAGAAATGGTTAGTAAAATTAATTTTTGATAAAAATTTTTTTAGACCATTGTTGATCTCTCATCAAATCTTTAACCCTCTTATCAATTCATATAATTATCTTTGAAAATCTATAATTTGTCAATGCATAAAAACAAATGAGAACTTAAGAACACTGAGGTTTCTTTCTTTGTCGTTATATTCTTTCGGAAAAGATTTTTGTATAGTTAGCAAGTCCTTCATATGTGTTTTGTATTCTCTCGTATCTCTTTTTCTAAATAATTTCTTAATTGAAGTTAATTTCTAAAAACATACTGGTTTTCCTTTTAAAACATGCGACACACATACATAAAGAGACACTCCATCAGGAGACGCCTTTTTTCTTAACACCTATCTATGTAAATCTATTCTCTCTATATATGTGTGTGTAAATTGTGAAATACAGGATTCTTACTGTTATGTGTCCTCCCTTCTCACTATCTATTGATGCATTGAAGAGAACCACTATAACAACATACAGTTATAGCTGGGGGTAGAGAAGTGTGTAACTGTGTGGCAGGAAGTGCGGAGACCTTGTGGAGGACACCTTCCAGACGACCCCGCCCATGTCCACCTACCTGCTGGCCGTGGTAGTGGGGCAGTACCTCGGTCTCAAGAAAGACCAGGTGAGAACACTTGACGAATTCTGTTGTCGGATACCTCACAATAATTGAAAGAGTAGATTGCCTGCCATTTATTGCCTGGTATTCGAAAAGAGACATGACCTTTTTTTATTTAGACCTTGAAAAAAAAATCCTAAAAGATTATTAAGGCGTTTTGTTTCTTTCTTGTAAAATGGAAAGCTTTTATTAAAAGATCGTAAATGGGTCTTAAACAAATAACCAAATGAAATCTAGATATTCCTTGCATTTTTTTAAAAGCTCATCGATGCTCTTTTGGTCGAAAATTTTCCAGTTTACAAGAAAGCAACTCATAACATCTATAATCATTTGGGAAATTGTAATTATTATATTACATATAGATATTTTGAGCGATTATTTTCATTATATATTCATTCACTCTACAAGGTCTATATTTAAAAATTTATATTTTTCATTATTTTTTCACATGAAAGTATATTTACGCAAACTTGACTTTAAATACCCATTACTTGATTTCTCAGGAAGCCTTTGTGGCCAAATATTTGGTCGTAGAGTCTGTACCATGCTTAGCGATTGATGACAATTGAATATAAATACGAGAGGTGGAGGTGAGCCCAAAAATAACAGGAATCCTATTTTATGAAAAAAACGTATCATTAAATGGAAGATAGGTATCTTTTATTTGTAAACGTTACGAGCTTTCGGGCAAACGCCCTTCTACAGGTTTGACAGAAATTAAGGCGAGAGACCGACCTAAATACAAGGGATGATTTACATAATAAACAATTTTTATAACTTATCAGTAAGAATTTTTAATTTTTAATAAGTAACTATTGTATTGATATGGTAATAAGATGTTGTATACTAGATTTTAACTATGTAAAAAAGGAATAGATTAACTTGAAACAAAGATATCATAAATTTCAGGAATTTCTATTTTTCTATTTATGCTTTTAAGTTTGGTGGATACTATGGATTCTAACATTAATCTTTGGTGTAGGTTGGGTATGTTACGGTAATGGATAGTGGGGTGGTTGGTATTAAAAGAGTGGCCAGTGGATGCAACATGCTGATAGATGAGGGAACGTGGGTCGTTGTTATTAATGTTTCGGGTGTGTTCTGACATTCTAATGGCGACAGTTCTACCTGTCTCACCCACATAAGTGGCGGAACAATGTTCGCATGAGACAGAGTAGACCGCCCCAGAAGAATCCAGAGGAC